CAATGTTCCTGTGGAGTGCTACCCCCTCTACGACATTCTCGTGGCTTGTAATTCAACCAAGTTGGACGCTTTGTTCCTGGATGTACAAGGACCAGAGTATGACATTTTGACCACAGTTCCATGGGAAAATGTGGACATACAGGTGAGCTATAACTACATACAGAAAAAAGTTGCATGTCTTCCCTCAGTCATATACTTTATATGGTTTTAAAGCTTGAGAAACTCAACTAAGGCATGAGTAGTTTATATATAAGAGAGCAGTGATCAACTTCAATGTCCTCTTATAATCTCATCAAGAAACTATGTGTTGTGTGAAAGGATATTTAGGATTAAAGATTTATTTCCCAAAAATTACCTTCAATACTTAAGAGGAATGGTAAATTTCTGCTGATCATTCATGATTTGCAAGCAATCATACAAAAATTGTCTGAAATTTTCATGTTTTGATTGCCATATCTAGAATTATTGTTTGAGAAATGTGACACAACTTTGGCCCTCTAAGATTTTGAGCCTTCAAGAACAGTGGTGGGTAAGCCTTCAGTTCTTAAAACGGGATCAACGTGAAAAATTTTACAAACTTATTAAGCCACATACGCAAGTATATATCGATGTGGTGCATTACAGCAAAGATATCACAATCAAAGCCTCAAACAGACATTGAAATTCAACCGCTTGGCAATCAAGGAGGAATCAAATCTTATTTTTCAGTTGATCATGGTGGAAATATCAACCATGAACAAGAACATGAAGCAGATAGAAAAGAATATGTTGGCTTTGCTGGAACCTCNAAAATGGAACACTCCACCAGCAGAGCATGAGTGCCAAAGACGGCACTCTGCCAGTCGGTGGATCTGGCTTACACAATGTTCCTGTGGAGTGCTACCCCCTCTACGACATTCTCGTGGCTTGTAATTCAACCAAGTTGGACGCTTTGTTCCTGGATGTACAAGGACCAGAGTATGACATTTTGACCACAGTTCCATGGGAAAATGTGGACATACAGGTGAGCTATAACTACATACAGAAAAAAGTTGCATGTCTTCCCTCAGTCATATACTTTATATGGTTTTAAAGCTTGAGAAACTCAACTAAGGCATGAGTAGTTTATATATAAGAGAGCAGTGATCAACTTCAATGTCCTCTTATAATCTCATCAAGAAACTATGTGTTGTGTGAAAGGATATTTAGGATTAAAGATTTATTTCCCAAAAATTACCTTCAATACTTAAGAGGAATGGTAAATTTCTGCTGATCATTCATGATTTGCAAGCAATCATACAAAAATTGTCTGAAATTTTCATGTTTTGATTGCCATATCTAGAATTATTGTTTGAGAAATGTGACACAACTTTGGCCCTCTAAGATTTTGAGCCTTCAAGAACAGTGGTGGGTAAGCCTTCAGTTCTTAAAACGGGATCAACGTGAAAAATTTTACAAACTTATTAAGCCACATACGCAAGTATATATTGATGTGGTGCATTACAGCAAAGATATCACAATCAAAGCCTCAAACAGACATTAAAATTCAACCGCTTGGCAATCAAGGAGGAATCAAATCTTATTTTTCAGTTGATCATGGTGGAAATATCAACCATGAACAAGAACATGAAGCAGATAGAAAAGAATATGTTGGCTTTGCTGGAACCTCATGGTTACAAACTCATCAAGCAGCTGGGGCGGGACTTCATCTATTCCAAAGTATGAAATTGAATTAATGCAAACTTTCTAGAGAAAAAAGTCCCTCGTGGGATTTTGAAAGTTCTGAAAGAAAGAAAACCGTCAACACAAAACGACTCGGTTGATATATTGTATCTTTAAAAAATCTTGCACAAATCTTAAGCACCAATGCCATGGTGTAGGATTTTCTCCAAAATTATGTGATCGTTCGCGTGAATCCACGCATTGTTGCGATTTGAACATAACATTTTTCTTTTGAACGTGATGATATTTCCTGAGTTTCTGTTGCACAAGTGCAAAATTGGGGGGAATACACAACATACCATTTGGTACAGCTTGATATCAAGTGTTCTTGGAATGTATGCGGTGAAATGTTCAGAATGTGATGCACTATCTTTGTTGTGAAATAAACAAAGGTTATTCAGCTGGGCGTCATATTTCACAGTAAACACTGTACTTAACACAAGAAATACAAGCAGATGACTGGGATCATCGAAGACCACTGGCGACATCTATGCTCTTATCTCTGCACTGATTTCTAGCAGAGGATAATTCTTCATATGTACAATTTAATATAGAACTGTGGTTTCAATTCAGTTTTTTATCCATATATTTACTGTAATCCTAATCCTGAATTTATTTCCAAATGGAAGACCATTCTAGAGGAAAGCGTTTGCTGCCATTACTGTACAATACATGATAAATTCAGCGTTTACCAAGAATAATCATCAGCAATATTATTACAGGTGGACTTGCTCCAAGATGAAACACAAGGGACCAGAAAAAAAGTAACTGAAAATTTTGTCGCATAGAAATCCAATAGCATTGGGAGAACACGCAAGTCTGTGGGTCCACAAAAAAAAATTGTTCCACGAAGAACTGCTGCATGCAAGATCAGCGTAGAGGTATTCAACCTGTATTCATAAAAACTGTTCCTGCCCATTAAGACCAATTTTTACACATACTGCAGAATAGGCCGATTTAAAATTAATTCCTCCTCATGAAAAATATTAATCATAAGGAATACGGTATTTTCTACACGTAAAGGACTTCTTTCAATCTCCGAGGGACCATTTCCTTTACTCGTAAGAGGCTCCTCTAAAACGAAATGTTTTTCATGAAGCATTCCTCCACATGAAGAAAGTCATCCTCAGCAATATTGTTCTTCATTGGACGACTTTTTCTTGACGTACAAGACCTTCATTTGAGGCATACAGAGCGCCTCTCCATAAGAATCCTTCCTACACAGCAAAATCATCAGTTATAGTCCCTTCAGGTACAGTACTTCATACCATAAATCTACCTCTACAGTAAAGCCATAATTCGTGGATCATCAGAACGAGCACCGACACAATTACGGTATGTATCTGTTCCATTCACGGTCCCCTGTTTTCAGGAGTCATATTACGCAGCAATAATTTGATTGAGGGCTCCTACGGATGCTCCGCGGAGCTAAGAGCGATGTCTTCCTAGAGACTTGGCAGCCGCTACAGCTGAAATCAAGAAAATTTGTTCAAATCAAGTTGAATCTTGTGAGGAGATTTAATCGATTAAATTAAAAGTAAGCCTTAGTATTACAAGAATAAGCGAATTAAACAGCCGCATGGGGCTCGGGGAGCGAAACCATACATGAACCTCTTCTCCGAGTAACGAATGATACGTTAAATCGAAAAAATGATGTAGAAAAAAGCCACATTAAAACAACGCCCGACCATCACAAGAGACTGAAGAAAGACTTTCGAAAACAGATTGTATCTTTCACACCAACACAGATTTAACACAGGGAAAGAAAAAAATCCTTCATAAATATGATCACCAACGAAAACAAGGTCTATCTTAAACAACACCAACGGAGACCGGAGTCGCCTTCAAGCTCCGCAACATACCCTTCCTTCAATACCCCCCACACACGCCTTCCCCTGCCCCCCAGTATCACAATGATTTCCGTTTCCTCAAGTGTGTTGTTCATTCGGGACACAGAAGAAGAAATTTCACCAGATACGAAGAACAAAAAAAAAGTAAGAGAAGAGATCATCACTCATCGCATTTTGAGAATTTCCGGACTGAGCTGAGAGCCAGGGGAAAGTAGAGGAGAACAGTGAACGGAGAGAATGAAAACCGTGCCTGTAATATTCACACACGTGTCGTTACGGAATGGGCTCAAAGCTCGGTGTGCGCATGATCTTCATCATCCCCAGAGATCTCCTCTTCATCCTCCTTCACTTCTTCTTTCGGCTCGTCAGCACTGAACTCGGGCTCAGCTTCAACCTACGGACATACAATCAAAATTAGTAATCCCATCTACTCGTTTAGATCTTTCATCCAATACTTCAGAACCATTTCACGGCATTCGACACATTCCTTTCAAAGTGATCAATAGAACATCAAGACGACCTTCTTCATTTAAAAAAAAAATATTTATAATTTTCCGTGAAGTAACAACAAAATTCCACGAATTCACCGTATTCGGTATCAGACAAGTACAGTACTAGTATTTCTCATGCATTATTACGAGATTAAACTCTTCGAAAATCAGAACGTTGGTCAGGGATAAACTTCGATTCTAAGATCGACCATTTCTCGTGAAAAAGTTAATTTCACATAGAAGTGAGCAAAATTCAACATGTAAGTTTAAAATCTGATCAGAACCTCACACTCAATCGCTGTGAAAGTATCAGCCATCTTATAAGTGGAAGGATCAACTTGTCACATGAAGATGGGATTTAGAGAACATTTACATGCTCGGCGTGAAAACATTGGAGAAATTACACTCGTCATCTCTCGGATTATTGAATCTAGCTTTGAATGACTCAACATTACACTCGGGGTACATAAAATCTGCTGGGTTTCAAGTACAGAAAAATGCTCACCTCCTCGTCCAAGGAAATGCCCATGTTGACGCGCATCATCTTCTCGATGGTGTCGGCGAAATCAAACGTATCCTGCAGCATGTACCCGGACCTCAAAGTGGCCGTTCGGAACATCATCTTGGCCATTTCAATCGCAGTTTCGTCCTTGGGATCATCCGATACTCGCTTCAACAAGTCCTTGATCAACGGGTGTCTGGGGTTCACCTCGAGCACCTTTTTCTGATTCATATGATAACTAATCGGAGAGAATTTCGGTTAGGGAACTGGTCATTCGAGGGAAGAAAAAACAAATGGCGAAGAAACGCGACTGAGAGACACTGACTTCCTCTGAGTGTCGACGTGCTTGGCGTGGGTCTGAGAAGAAGCTAAACGTTCCATGTTTCCAGTCCAGCCCCACATTGTACTGACCAGAGCGCACGGGGAATTCTTCAAACGATCGCTGAGTTGGGTTCTAGTGACCTATTGTTTATCAACGTTACAAATTGTTTAATACTGCTCATGATAATCAAACATGTATCTGCATCAGTAATTCGAATTGTTAATACAAATTACGATAAAACCAATGACCATTGATGCGTTAGTAATGGAAATCTTGCACCCAAACCGTGCCGTTCTCCCCCTTCAACTTTGCAGCGAAGACCTGCAATTGGTGTTGATCGGATTTCAAATAAATTCTTCATTCACGTGCTCGCAGGTTTTGCATCAGTGAATTTCCGCAAAATTTCGAAACCGGAATTTTTCTAATAGATCACAAAATTAGCAGTAAGAAACCAAGTACATCTTCGCTTCCTCGAAACTTCTGAAGCACAGTACTGTAAATAATAACACCATTCTTCATCAGGGGGGTTTTTTAAATACAGCACAGCACTATAATTCACTCTCCTCCTGTGAAAATTATCCACGTGGAGAAAGTGGGATCGTAGTAAGAATTTCTTCTCAAATAGAAGTTTATTCTTGACATAACTCCATTAGATTTTTCTGAATTCCGACATACAATGAACAGAATTTCATTCGAAACCCGATCAACCCCTACATTACAGTCACAATTTCTAGCAGTTGAGATCAAATATGTAACCAGCAAGAAAAACGCAGTTCATGTTAGTCTCGATGAGCCAAGTGCGACCCAAGTGACATGAAACCAAAAAAAAATCCCAGAACCGGTCTGTGAACAATGAGACTTCGTGGCATGTTACGTTCTTCGCATATTTTTAGGTCTCTTCAGCGAAAAAATAGAATTAATGACGATTCTCTGAAAAGATCACCCTCGATTTTAATTCACAAAAAATACAGTGGAACCTCTTCAAGTCGAACTTCCTCATTACTCGGTTCATTTTCCCAGAGAGTATTTCATTTCCCTTGAAAACGTATCAAGTTACATTTTAATTCCACTATTTCATGGTTCAATAGCCACAAGGCCTCCAGAAAAATCGACTTACAGAGCTTTGATTGGGAAAGCCTTTGAGTTTAAGCGTCTTCAATGCATTACTTTTACAAGAAGTCAGAATGGGAAACATCATATTGGACGGTAGGCATTTGACTAACGGAGGTTCGAGTTATCGAAGTTCACGGGTACACGAATCATCAATTATGTCAATAATGGCAGATAATATACCCACTATACTTAACATCACGTAAAATTCGCGTTGAGAATGCCTCGTACCGAACGTGATAGTCATAATTGTACTAGAAGCTAATTCTTTCAAACAGGTAACATTTTCTGGAATACACGGCAGTGCTCAAGAAACATGGAAACCATCATGAAGTGCAACCAACACCAAGCCGAAAAACCCGTCAACACCGAGGAAACACGTGATATTCGGAGAAGAGCGCATTGCGAGGCTGAGAGCAAAGATTTGTTCACGAGAAGACTGTCAGCACCTTTTAGAGGAGAATGTCCATCATATATCGAACTTCACCGCTGGCGGCGCTGTATTCCTTTCGCACCATGTGCAAAAACCGAATCGAATGCAGTAGCTCAAAACGGTTGATCTATCGGTGCTTGAATCATTACTTATGTTTAAATTCTTACTTCCTCGATCGTAACAGAAAAACGAAGAAGTAAGGAATACTGACGAGTTCGTGAAAGGACCTGTGGACCACGCAATTTCACAACTTCTCCGAACATGAAAAAAAAAAAAAAAAATAGAGGAGACAGAAACGATAGAAGAAAGCCTTACTCCCGCATGGAGTCGTCCG